TTCTGGCTCAATCTCTGGTTGTAATTTTGGAACGGAATTTTCATTTCCATGATTACATCTTTAACTTACAGCATTAAAGTATAATCTCTACATATTAACATTCTGTTTTGATGTGGTATTGTTCTTATATCTTTCTTTAGTTTTTGAGAAATGGTTTAATTTTTTTGACTATATTTATAACAGGCACATCTATGAGGCATATTAAAAACTAATGATTAATGTAGAAGGGTCCATCATTGGCAGCTGTACCACCCCTGGGCAGGTAGTCTTTGACTGTACAAGACAATGAACCGAGTAAGGTAATACACACCATTCTTCCATGGCCTTTGCTCCAGTTCCTTCTTCTAGGTTCCTGCCTTGAGTTCCTGCTCTGACTTCTTTCAGTGAAGAACTATGATCAGACATTGTAAGCCAAATAAACCCTTTCCCCTCAAAATTCCTTTCTGTCGTGGTGTTTATCAGAGCAACAGAAAGGCAAGTAGGACAAATCCCCTCCCCAAGCCTCTGTAACCCTTACAGTCATCCTGTAACTACATATGTACATTAGATACATTTGTTGCTACGTAATACGTGGTCCAAGAGTTAATATTGGTATTAGACTAGAATGTAGGAGCAGGCTTTTGCCTCTGCTAGGACTAGGAAAGAAAACAGGACTGGATGGCAAATTGCTGCTGATGAAAACACCGTCCCTTGTGATTTTATTGTTATTCAGTAATTCTGATATTGTAGAAAAATGCAAACATGTTTGCCTCTTTCTAACAAAGCACACTCACAACAGCTGCATAGCCATACCCTCTTGTAATAAAATAAAAGCAAAACCGATAACAAGCAAGCAAACAAGACCCCACAAAATCAAAACAAGAGACAGTCTACGTGAGTGTCTGGGGGCCATGTCACGTCCACGCCATCACGGGTCTTTGCTTGGTTAGCTTGTTGGCTCTCCGGTGATTAGAGACTTCCTCAGGTCCTTCCTGTGTTTAGAGCTGGGGCTCTGTGTGCGTGCTGGGCTTGTCTTCAATCCTCAGGAGACGCCGACAACTTCCTTAAGTGGCACATCCTGCTTGTTCTGTCTTGAAGTTGGCTGAAGGTGGAAAACTGGGGGCTGTTTCAAGTCTGTCCCGGGCCTGCGCCCAGTTGTGTTTATGGAAAAATCTTTGTAAGATTTCAGAAATATTTCTCATCTTTTCAACTCCTTCCTCCATGGACATCTCACTCCCCATGTATTTTCTTTTAGATTTTTCTCATTACTTTTATTATTTTTATGTGTATGGATGTTTTGCCTGCCTTTATGTCTGCATGCTGCATGCATGCCTGGTAACTGTGGGGGCCAGAAGAGGTCATTGACTCCCCTGGAATCTGAGTTACAAATGGTTGTTCACTGTCCTGTGGGTGTTGGGAATTGAACCCTGATCCTCTGGAAGAGCAGCCTTTGTTCCTAATTGCTGAGTCATCTCCTTTTAAGGTTTAAAAATGATTATATATATATATTTTTTTAGAATTTCATAACGCAGGACTGTGGTTTGATCAATCTCACCCCCAGTTCCTTCACTGCCCTTTCCCACCACCACCCCTACCTCCTCCTTTTCAGTTTTAGCTTCTGCTCAGCTCCAACCAGCTCCAGCAGCTGCAGTGCTAAATGCTTGCGGTGTTGTTGTTGTTTTAACCTGGCAAATAACTCCATTTTCTATGAGAATATTGTTAGTCATGTTATCTAAAGACAAGCCCTACCAGGATGTTATCAGACAAGTCAAATAGTGCTAAGTCTTAGGGAATGGGACTTTTTGAGGCGCCCAGGTCCTTTTGGTCCTTCCGGTGGACCAAAAAAGTGGTGACTTTCCACAGCCGTTGGGGCTTCAGAACCCATGGTGCTCTAGTCTACGTCCATTTTCTAACAAAACTACTTATACATATTGTTAAGTTGGGAGCGTAGGCCCCAGCCCCTTGCGTCTATCCCAGCCCCTAGAACCTGAGGGTTATATTGGTCTGGGCTCCAAATCCCAGCAGGCCAGGTCCTGACCCACTCCCACAGAGTATTTAAATGTGGTCTCAAAAGAGGAACACGTGGTCTCTTTTTCTTCCTCCTGGTGGTCGTTCACAGCCTCAGGGGCCACCCGAAAGTGCAGGACTCCCATTAAACCTGGATATTTCTTAATTTGGCTTGTTTTGATTTGGCTTGATTGGCAATTTGTGTCGGCAGAGAGCTCACGTTAGAAAATATTCCTAACACATATAAGCATCATATTTACTGGTCTAAGAAAAAGCCTCATGTAGGATGGCTCTAGTCCTGATAATGCTGCCCAGCCCTTAGTTCTTTTATTAAAATCAGCTGTTTCTTGTACATAGCTGTTTGTTTAAATTGGTATGCTCCTCAGCACCCCGCTAAGGCTTGTTAGAAACAGCGTCTGAGGTGGGGCTTGGGAATGTACATTTCTAGTGTTTTTGTTTGTTTGTTTTATAATTTTAAGATGGTGTGTGTGTGTGTGCATGTCACAATGTGTACATGTGAGTGTAGTGGAGCTCAGAGGACAATTTGTGAAGTTTGTTTCCCTCCTTCCACCCCTTGGGGTTTGAACTCAAGTCCTCGGGCTTGGTGGCAAGCGCCTCTATCTGCTGAGTGGTCTCACTGGACCCCTAGCAAAGTTGTGAGTGAAAGTTGAAGCTGTTTCTGGAGTCATTAGGATCAGAGCCTGAGCTCTGGTAGCCTGGTAGGCTAGTCTAGGCCATAAGTCCACAATAGGCCAATTCAACAAACAATAGTGAAAAAACAGGACGTTTGTCATCGGGAGAATGGCATAAAGATCCAATGGCGTCCTCTCCCATCCTTCCAAACCCCCAGCCCGTCTTCCCAGGTCCTAACCTGAGGATTCTGTTTAAATATAGCACAAGTTCTGTGTAGCTAAGCAGACCCAGGCCAGGTCATTCATGCTCACCATCACTTCCTCGTCTCTGATGCAGAGCGCTCTGACAAGATGCGAGAGATGTGTGAAATCTCTTTCTGGGAGACAGGCTCCACTTCCGCTGGCACCAGCTTTCCCAGTCTTTTCTTTCTCCCAGCGTGAGAGATTTCTGAGTCAATTCCAATCTCAGAATTGTCAGTAGTTTGGCAGTTAAGAGGAGGGTTGCTCCTGTCTGCTTGGAATAATTCCATTCCTATTGAGATGTTTACATTGCTGGCATTTGGGGCCCCAATGTCGAGAACATTGAAAGACATTGTGCCCAGGCTAAACCTTCTCTCATGGTGTCATGTGTAGGAATGCACATGGCTATACATGTCCACAAATTCAGCTTCCTCTTTCCTTGCTAATTTTCTTTGTACAATGGATTGGGGGTATCTATCAACACAGTGAAAACATGACTGGTCTTTTAATATTCCTCAGAAGTGTGCAAGAGTCAGGGGGCAAATATTAGAGCTCTGATCATATTTGTTGCTGTCTTGAATGACTGTTGAAAGGAGACTGATATTTATTTATAAACTTGTGAATTAAAAAGTATTTAAGGCTATTATTGATTTGAAAACTCTTGTTAGCTTGATTATAAGTAGTGTGGCTGTACCGGCTAGTTTGTTATTGTTGACACAGGCTAGATTTGTCTAGGAAGCGGGAATCTCGATTGAGAAAATACCTCCATCAGATTGCTTTGTAGGCTCCTCCATGGGACATTTTTTTAAATTTATTTTCAATTAATTAATTAATACCAATCCCAGTTCCTCCTCCCTCCTCTCCTCCTGCTCCCCCTCCTCTCACCCAACCCCACCCCACCCTCTGCTCCTTGTGGGGCATTTTTCTTAATGATTGATGTGGGAGACCAAGGTCTATGGTGGGCCGTGTCACCCCTGGGCAAGTGGTCCTGAGTTGTCTAAGGAAGCAGACTGAGCACCCTAACAACTAGCCTTCGTCCATGGCTTTTGCTTCAGTTCCTGCCTCCATGTGTTTGCCTTGAATTCCTGCCTTGACTTCCCTGTTGATGGACTTGTAACCTCTAAGCCAAATAAATCTTTTCTTCCCCACATTGTTTTCGGTTGGTGGCTTACCACAGCAATAGAGAGAGAAACTAGGACACTGGCCATGACATTTATTACCTAAGTGGGATGCTTTTGAGAGTGGAGGGAAGGGGATTGCTATTAGAAGTTTTCCTGGGAGAGAGGTATAAACAGGGACTGTCTTGAAAGACCAGGCAAACCCAGTCACCTGAACTTTAGAAAACGAAATAGGAAGATAGGTTTCACTTTCGCATGCATGTTTGATTTACTCAGCTTTTGGTCGTAGGGTTAAGGTTTTGTCAATATTTTCTCCCATTCATACGAAGAAATAACAGAAGGTAAGTATTTTGTTAATGAGTTACTTCTCAGAAGATAAAATTAGGTTTTGCAGTGGATTCCTGCGATCTCAGCATTGCATCAGCATTGGGAGGCAGTGGATCCCTCAACTACACAATGAGTTGGTGACAAACCTGGGATACATGAGACCCTGTTTCAAAAAACAACAAACGAAACAAGCAACAAAAAAAAAGTGATAAAGTGTAAAAAACCTGAAAAGTTAATGTTTATGTTTAGCCCAGTAGTTTCCCTTCTTCAGACAAATTTCCCTTCTTCAGACAGAAACTTGTATCTCCTGAAAGTTTCCCACGGAAAAATAGAATTTTGAGCAAGAAGGGGAAGGACCGTAGTCTCTTGGGAGTCTATATAAATGCATATCTGTACTCATGAACTAGATCAAGTATGGAAGGCCATTCAAATGATAGCAGCTTGGTTGATAACCACGCCCACCGAGTGATTGACTAGTTACACCTGTACTTCCGACTTCCAGCGCTTTTCTCCTATTACCTGTTCTCTTAGCAGAAACTAGGAAGGGAACAAAATTGCCCACTCCTGGGTGACGTCACAGAAGAGGGCGAGACCTTACGGGCGGTGCGATCTCCTGGGGGCGGAGTCAGCAAGGGAGTGGGGAGGGCGCCGGTCAAGCGTGAAACGCGCATGCGCGGCGAGGGGGCGGAACCGGGGCGGGGCTGTGCGCTGTGTTCTGAGTGAAGGCTGTGGCAGGGTTCGGGCTGCGCGGAGACAGGGGGTTCGGGTCTTGGGTGGACGCCACCGGCCGGAGCAAGGCGGCCTGAACCTAAGTCCCGGCCAGTCTTCAGGACCCGGCAGCGACCGGTGGAGCCGAGGCCGGGACGCGCGGCCAGGAGGACGGAGGCTGGGACTGAGCGAGTGCCGGGGTCGGGGCGCGCCAGGTAGGTGGGCCGAGCTGGGCCGAGCTGGGTCCGGTGGTGCGGGACTGAGCTGAGGGGCCCGGCGGCTGGGAGCTGGAGACACTGGGGACCCGACCGGACGGCGCCCGCGGTTGTCATGGCAGTAGTACAGCCTAGCGGTTCGCTGGTTGCGTCTTTGGAGAGTGGTCCTAGACTTGCCGCCCCCTTGCCTTGGGCCTCTTGGGGAGCTGTGGGATGCTATACACCACGCCTGCCGGATGCATCTCTGCTGGGTTCCGGGCTTCCAGCTCTGAAGGCCTCACGGGTATCTCAGGTGTCAAAACACCTGGTAAAAATAAACATGCATCTTGGTGGAGGACACCTACTGCATCCTCGCAACTCTCGAAGCGTTTTCTGTCCTCGCATCGTCCCAGATAGCATCTCCCCCACCTTTGCTTTTTTATGTATTTTATATCCGTCTGCTTTGCTCTTAAGCTAATTGAGGCCTGAGAGGTTTCCAGGGATCCGTGGTCGTCTTTTGCAAAGCCAGTCATGAGTGTGTAGGCCACCGAAACACTCAAAATGTCAGACACAAATTTATATCTTTGTGGGCGAAGGATGGGAGCATTGATGGGCCTTGGCTTCTCTTGCCCCTTGTCGCTTGCCCTCTGACATTACATAATGGTGGGTTCCTCCTGCCCGGAGTTGACAGCTCATGAAAATGTCTCTTTGGGTAAGAAGGAACTATAGGCCGTTGTAAATCCCATTTTCTTGTCTTTCGCTTTGCCTCTGAATGTGTTTGGTGTTGAGAGGCTGCCCAAGAGTATAACGTGATTTGTCACCTGCCAGTTAGGGCATCTGAGCCAAGGGAATGGGGGAGGGTGGGGTGGCACCGAGGTTGGGATGTTGCAGTGATATTCAGCTTGACTCACTCCTGTGCCCTGTGTGGACAATGGGTACATCACAGGGGCCTGGGGACAGAGTGAGCTGATCTGGGTGTGAATTCTGAAGGTTCTGTCATTTCCCATCTCAGGTTCTCAATGTTCTCATCTCCAAAAGGTGAAAGCCGAACCTCACTTGCTGAGTTTGTTTTGAAGTCTAAATGTTAGTGTCAGGCAGAGAACAGCTCTAGGTTGTCCTACTTACTTAGCCTTGTCGTCTTTGATTGAAGTCAGTAAATTTTGTCTTTGAATCTGGTCTGAGGCCCTTGTGTAGGCCTTTGACATAAGGTTTCTTTCTCCTGGAAAATTCAGTTCTTTGAAGGGAGCTGGTGCTCACCCGAGGAGTTCCGAGTGTTGGTTCTGTACAAGTGGTGGTGTCAGGAGATCACACTGCTGTTTCTTGGGTGGCGCTGCATGTGAACGGCATTGCCAGGCGGTGTTCCTTGTGTCTTGTCAACACGATGTAGGAATGAGCCAAAGTCACTAGGAGGGTCATCTTCAAGACCGAGCTTACAGGAATGGAGGAAAACCAGGGCTGTGTTTCTGCTGAGCTCGGTGAGAGTGCTTGCCGTTCTTCCTTAGCTACTCTGCCTATCTAGTGACGGTTCATTTGTTGTCAGCCTCAGAATCTGCGTGGGTAATCCCAGGCTCTCAAGCAGACCCAGCGTTTAGAGCATACATTATAGTTTACTCCGTTGTTTTGGAAACTAGGGACTTTGTAGTATTACCATTAAAATGAATATTAGTTGTTTAAAAAAATCACTTTAAGGGGATACACACAGAAGCTTAGCATAAATGATTAGAACATGCGGGAGGCAGAGGCAGGCAGATCTCTGTGAGTTTAAGGCCAGCCTGGTCTACAAGAGCTAGTTCCAGGACAGACTACAAAGCTACAGAGAAATCCTGTCTCCCAAACAAAACAAAAACAAAAAATGATAGAACACTGGAGAAATGGGGTGTGTGATAAAGAACTATTGGCCCTACGCAGCTGCCTACCCAGGAGAATTCTCAGGAATGCACCAGAAGGAAGGACTAGGAAAGCGCTCCCATCCCCACTTTACTGTTTAGCCTCTCAAGAACTCAGTGAGGCAGAGTGGAGGGGGAAACTTTCCATCAAGGCTATTTTATTTTGGTTTGACTTTTTAATGCAAAACTCCTCCTTAGTTTCCATATTCAGAGAAGTTCTTAGAATCATCACAATGGTGTCGGGAGGCTTTGACTTTCATGAAGAAGTAAACAGCACACATCTGTGGCAGAGAAGGCTGGATTATGTTCCTGCTTCTTTGGCAGACCTTGATTGATGAGCAGGAGACTGGGCCTGGAGCAGAGGCTCTGAGCAGAGTGTTGTTAGGGAGACCAGTATTAACCAGCCCCTTGCAGGCTTGCTTCACTTTGCCTGAAAGAAAAGACCATCGTGAACCCAATCCTCAGAAACCCCTAGAGTGCTCCTTGCTCTCTTAACTAATTTTTCCTTTGTACTTTGATGTCCTTTCAGACTCACAGCAAAACGATAAGAATAAATGTAAGTGATTTTTCGGAAAATCTTTGTCCAGATTTTCCTAATGTTAGCGTTTTGCTGCTGCATCTCTGTTACCCTTCTCTCATTTTCATGCTTTAAACAAACAAACAACTTAGTCGCATTTTGATGCCAAATACCCTGTACCTCTAAATATTTCCAGGAGGATTTCTTAAAAACATTTTATACATACAGCACTTAAAACTCAGGAAATGAACATTGACAGGAATGCTGCTATTTAATGCATAAGTCTTATTTAGATCTTAGAAATTGCTCCGACAATGTCCTTTATCCCAAAAGAAAACTCTGGCTTATTTGTTGCCTTCAGTTTTTTTTTTCTTTTCTTTTAAGCTACAGTCTATTTTAACTAGTGTTTCTTTGTATCTAATGTCATTGACATGCTCGAAGACTATTGACTGTTTCAGATAATGCCCCTCAGTTGGGGTTTCACACTATTTGGATTCGGGTGAGGTACTTCTTGCAAGAGCGGCAGAGCTTGCAGCCTTGTTGGCTGGGCTCAGTGTGAGGCAGATCCTGCCCACTATCTCATTAAACTCTACACTAGACTGGTTAGCTTTGATATCTTGATTAGGATGGTGTGGGGCTCATTGAAAAGTTACATTTCCCCCTTTGTGGTTAATATGCATCTTGTAGGGATGCAGGACATGCTACTCCTCAGTCTTTCCAGCCACAGAAAGAACCCACCGATGCCTCTTATCTGAATCTTATAGAGTTGACAGATGGGAGTTTTCTAATTTCTTGTTTCCTTCTACGTGTGTTAGAGAACCGAACTAAACTAAAGAGGATTTTCCCTAAAATACACTTCTCGATTTACATCCCTAGAACATGAAAATCTTGCTGTATACATTAATTAGGCTTTAGTCTGTTCCTGTCATTATTTCTGTGTGACTTTGTCCCAGATTTATCCTTTAAGGGAGTCCCTTTCTTTGTACATGTTCTGATCGTTCCTTAAGGACTTCTTTTCCATTCTGGTTCAAAATCTTTGAGACTCAATTTGTATTTTCCTTGCCCTAGCCTCAGAACCAGCCGTTTTCAGAGCTCTGTTTCCTTCTTGGAGAGTGGCTTTAGACTCCAGAATGCCCAGGTTGTTGTGCAAGTGGAGGTGGTATCATTGCCTTTATGTATGTGTTTGTAATGTAGGAGATCAAACTCAGGGTTTCATGCATGCCAGAGAAGCCCTGTGCCACCAATCTCCATCACCAGTCCTTGTGCCATTGCCCGTAGACCTTTTCAGGGGACTGGAGTTCTTGTTAGAGTTGGCAAGATGGCTCAGCAGATAGAGGCACTTGCCCCATAGCCTGACAACCTGAGTTCTATCCTTGGTGACTCAAAATAAATGAAAATGGAATGTTTAAATTGCTCATGTAAATGTAAATATAGTCATATTACATACCATATTGTCTGATTAGCTTTTTCAATTTCGTACTATATTCTGGAGTCTGTGTACTGACATGATGAGTTTGCCCTTTTTTGGAGGTGGGGATCCATATTCCAGAGTAAGGGTGTGCTGTTATTTATCAAGCCATCTTATACTGGTAGGCATGTAGGTCCTTTCCAATTTTCTGCTGAAAAAAAAAAAAGCCAGTTACGTATGGACCAGTCCCTTTAGCGCCACCTCTCAGTCTTGCAGGGCCCTGTTAGCATCAGTAGGACAAGGAATAATTGTGAATCAACAGTTTTGTCAGATTACACCCCCAAGTGGGTCTCATTAGCTCACACCCTTCCATCATTTGTTTCCCTGCAGCTTTGGCACCTTAATTTTGCCAATCTAATGGCCCAAAAGACTTTATGCTTTTATTATGTTTCTCAAATAGCCAAAATCATTGAATTCCTTTATATGTTGAACTTTTTAGTTTGAATTACCTGTTCATGTCCTTTATCTGTGGTTTCTCATACTAGATTGGTCTTATGTTACTCGATAATGTTTCTGGCAATTTTAAGTAGGAATTGTTCCCCCAAGGAAAAGGAACCCAACCTTTTCTGACCACACCACACGCCAGACCTAGGCCATCTCTCTCAGGCATCCTCTGAGAGGTCTTGTCAGGCCTTGAAGAGGCGCTTAGGGGAGGTGTGGCCAGGCAGCTGCAAGATGGTGTTGACAGAAACTGGGTGGGGTCAGAGCCAGGAGTTTCTGCCTCTGGCGCCTAAACCACTATATTTCCATGCAAGGACTGTAAGATTTGCTCCTAGAACTCAGCGAGTTTTGAACTGGACTTCCAGAAGTCCCCAAGTAGCCAGAAATCCTGACCTCCTGCCTTCGGCCTTTTTTGTTTGTTTGTTTGTTTTTAGACATGGTTTCTCTGTAGCCTGTCCTGGAATTCCCTCTGTAGACCAGTCTAACTTCAAACTCACAGAGATCTGCCTGTCTCTGCCTCCAAGAGTGCTGGGATTAAAGGTATATGCCACCCCTGCCCGGCTGCATTCAGGCTTTTATTATAGTATCGTTCTTATTATAAGCCTCAGTGACCTAGCCCCCCCCCCCCCCATATAATTTACCATCCCCTGGTGGAGGCCTCAGAAATAGGAAGGTAAATTATATGTAGGGGACTGGGTCACAGAGGCTC